GGCTCAAACAAGACCCACCACCCAAGAAGTACTAGAAGGAAAAGGGTAAACCCATCAACAAGGCCAAAAAAAAAAAATTAACAAAAGAATAATTATTATTTTCCCTTTGAACTGCCAAACAGTAACTAAGATGGGAATCAGAAGGAAAACTTACATTACTAAAAATAAATAAATAAATTAGCCCAAACAGAGGAAAGAGGATAAGCACTACTTGCAACTTCTCCATAACAAGAAGCATGGAAAGCAGGGAAGATATATTACCTTTTCATACAATCCAGCTTCCTGACATTGGTGAGCAGCTTCAAGCAGAAATTGTTGTCTTTCTTTTGCATCAGTCAAAAATCGCCCCAATTCACCTTCTTCTCCGGCACCTCTTGAACCAAGTAAAAGATAGATGCCCCCATCCCGTAACAACAGTTCTGTAAGGAGCTGCTTCAGCATCAAATTTCTCTGCCTTTGCTGATCCACATTACCTCTTCCAGACCATGACAACTGCCCACCACCAACTGCAGCAGCAGCTTGTGCATAATATTCTAATGCCACCTGAAGATTACCAAGACGTAAATACACAGACCCATACTGCCTGATTATACTAGATGCCTCTGCGTAAGCATCCATCACGCCCATTTTCTGTCCAGCCCCAGCTCCTTCAGAAAGGACCCCATGGTCTGCTAGCACAATTGATATGTGGGCAGCGTCAATGTTATATCCTTCATCTCCAGTTTCCTTGGACAAGTATACCACACCTGGTATCAACTGGATGCTTAAAAGCAAAACATATGGGTACACCAGAGGGTCCTTTCCATTTTTTGTATAGTATGAGGGGTCAAATTTATTCAAGTAAATCTGCAAATCATCCAATGTGTATGGTACCAAGCTCTCATTCATGACAATGGGTGCAGCTCCACCAGGGCAGTCTCTTACAGCTGACAATTTGAACCACAAGAAATCCTCTATGGTGTTAAAAAGAGTAGGTAGATCTCTTAGTAGGCGGTCGATTTGCCTACGAGAACCAGATATGAGAGCATATAGTAACAACTTTTTCTTGTCATATGCAGCTCGGCCCACACGATCACCTGTTCTTAACATTTTTTCACATTCTTCTGATGCAGCAGCTGCAATCTCCGCAGGCACCATACCTCCAGTATTAATCCACTCAGTAAGCTGTCCAAAAATGAAGTAATGAATAAGCCGGCATATGCTATAAATTTAAATGAATATAAAAAAGTCTTTACCAGAGGAGCAAACTGGTTTGACACGCGAGATGACAAAGCAACAGCTCTTGCTTCATCATAATACCCAGTTCTCAAGCAAAAGTAGATCTGCCACATACAAATAGAACTTAGTGACAAGCATGCAAAAATTATGTATTACAAGCATTTCTTTTTTGACATTTCCGTATTCTTCAAATAGTTTCACACAATAAAGTCATCCCCTTTCTCTGACACATATGACATACTTAAAATTTAATATAAGGAACGATTGAAATTTGTGAAAATGTGCAAGTATTAAAACTTGTAAGCTGAATATATTAATTATATTAAAATTCAACTTCATATATTAGGATATGTGGTAAAAGAAAGGTAAACAGGGAGTGAAATTGTAACTTCAGAAATGCAAAAGTGAAAAACAGAAGACCTGCTGCCAAGTGGTATCAACAGGAGGCTGCCTACGAGCATCGCCTGCATCAAAATCTAGAACTCCATAATCTCTTAAACGAATCTGCAGAGAAACAAAAGAATACAAAATTGCATGATAAAAGATCCTGAAGGATAGTATTATAACATGTAACAACATGCTAGATCTCACAGTTTAAAGAAAAAAAAGATTACAAACCCGAAGAAAGGCACGAATTCTTTGTAAATTTCCAACAACTCCTCCAAGGGCTGCCTGCAATGAGATCAAGAGGTGACCATGAATTGTGATTGTTGTGATGAAAAGTGATATAAATTACACACGATATAAAGAAAAAGCTTCTTGCAGAAGTCAAATTGTAATGGCAAACCATTAGAAGTCCAAGAAAATTAACCAAATGGGTTGATAGACCAAATGCATAGCACGTAACCATTGTGAACAAAACATATTTAACAAATCTGTTTAGCAACCAACATACAAAACAAATTTAGTACCTGTGCAGGATGACTTTGGATTGTATCCATGATGTACTTTTCATGCCCCCATTCCAGGTGGCGCCTTGCCCCAATAACTAATGACATCCGTTTCGAAGCACCCCGTTGTATGGTTATATCTTCGCCCATTAATGTCTGTCAACATAATGAGAAGATCGTCAACCATTGATAATTTAATGCATATAATAGTGGCAAACTCCAAAAAGGTGTGCATACTAACATACACCAGATTAACGAAGCACATGTCTAGAAGTGTACCTGAAGAAGGTGCCATATCTTCTGCATGTTAACTGATTTTCCACCAGATGCATCAAGGCCTAAACTCTCATAAGCACCCTTGAAAGCTGAAGCAGGCTAGTGACAGTAAAAGAGAAAAAATAAAAAATAAATAGCAATCCTTTGATAAATATAGCAGAGCTCATTATCTAGTAACATCCACATTTAGACAGGATGGTTATTGCAAATAAAATAAAATAAAATTGTAAAAGGCCAAGGCCACCAAACTGAAAGGACAGTATCATGAAGCACTCAAGTTGGACTCACAAGAACTGCCAC